ACCTTTTCCTGACAGAAAAATGAAGAAGAGAGAACCACCCTGATTCAGTCAGCTCTCAGTAAATAAAATACAACATGTTTTTTTGTAAGATCGAGCCAGCACATAAAGTCTGAGGTGTTCAGAAAATGTGACAAACAAGATCTTTCCTGTTGGGGAAATCAAAACGCATTAATGAAACAGCTTTTAAAAAGAGTAAGCCAATAAAGTCCTTCCTTGGTAAATCAAATCCAAATGACATTACCCTAAACATAATTAAGCTCAATAATTCAACTGCTTAAATCTGTAGACTCCGGAGGCTTTTGTGCGTTTGTTTGTGACAAAGTGAGCGGCCTTTCACATGACAAACACAAACAGACACTCCCACATTGTGCACTAGTTAATGACACAGCCCAGTGGAGGGAGACGCCACAACAGCAGTTATTTACCGAAGCCATTGTGAGCGCTAAATGGATGAAAGCCCTGGGAGTGGGACTGGTGCCTTTCTCAAACAAGTGGAGTCAAAAGGGGCCGGGACAATGACACGCACTTGTTTGCAGCACTTTGGAACAACATTTAGCGCTTCTGCAATGTTTTCACAAAGAGCTTTTGGCAACGTCCAATTAAGAGCGGGACAAAAAACTGCAGCGTGAAGCCGTCTGTGCGGACGTTGGAGTGGACCAGCTCAAAAAGCATTTATTCAGTTCAAACGCGGTGGAGAATCCTGCAGCTTCAGGGAAAACCCAAATGTATCTGTAATTCTGCTTGTGCTTCACCTTTCTTTCCTCTCAATATCCTTTGCTTCATGGTGTGGCAAACTATGTGATGATTGTGTTCATGAAAGAAGAGGTTTTGAATGCACAAGGCTTCAAGAGGAAATGCTGTACACAATTCTTTTGTATAAATCTGAACTTTTCTTGACTATTTCCTTTTTCAGGCAACTTTTCTATTTTTGCTCCTTACTTTCAAAGACAAAAAACGATATTTTCCTTCTTCTATATATAAAAAATAGGTTGGTTACTTAAAAAACAACGTAGAAGAGACAAAAGACTTCAGACAAAAGATCAACAACAACATTTCAAAGTGCTATATGGATGTGTTTATAGGTTTAAGTGGTTAGCCATGCTTCTAAATTCATTGGTACATGTTTGAAGTGGTTAGCCGTGCCACTTTAGTTATATGCGGTAGTTTACTTGTTGAAGCCTAAATACTTTTAGTTTTGTGATAGGTTCAATGCATGGGAAGTGGACCAGCCCAAAGGTCACCAACCTGTGGTCCGGGGCAGTCGATTTCCAACTGTTTGAAAGTAGAGGATGTAGAAGAATCTAAAATGAATTACATTCATGTTGCTGTTGTAATAGAAACATAGCTGGAGAGATTGAAAACAGTGAGAGTGAAATGTTGTTGACAAAGCACTGCTCACCTATAATTGTGACAATATTGTGTTTGTGGAAGAAGAAAACAGCGATAATTATTGTCCCTTTTTGTTTTATAAAAATAGATCTCCAATGGGAAACGCCTTTATACAACAGATTCTAGCTATACAGCTGCAAAAACTGTATTTAATGTATGCAATGTAATAATCTGACTCAGTTGGTAGAGCATTGGGTTCAAGCCCACCTCAAACTTTCTCCATCAACTCCCGCTGTGTATGCTGTCGTTGCGTCCTTGGGCAAGACACTTAACCCCCATCGCTTGAAGCCCCCACTGAAAGATCGAGGCTATACTCTCACTGACACAGAGCAGCCGTCCTCCTGTGGACTCACCACCTGCAGCAGGATCAGAGAGGGGCTGGTGCTCTGTGGGTGATGGATGGAATATAACGAACCCAATACAGTTGTGTTCTATCTTGAACTTTGTAAAACTGAAGTGACATCTATAGTAAAGAACGCTGTGTAATTAGAGTGTTTTTCTCCTCAGTAATGCTGAATATATTCACAGTTTTGTTCCGCCTCAGTCACAGCTTTTCTCATTTTGTTGCAGCTCCTCAAATCTCAGAACATACAGTACATATAACACCATGCAATCTGTGTTATCTAACAATATTATGTAATGGAAATAAAAGGGGTTTACTTAGAGCCTAATGGGACAAACAACAAAGACCAGTCTCTCTGAAACTTTCATTTGTTGGACTTAGTTGTAATTGCAATGTGCTTTACATTAGATACATCAACAACCATGGTGTGGAGTGCTGAAGCAATAATATCGATGAGTCTAAATGTACTCACAAACATTGATCAATTCTATTTTCAAAAACATATTTTTTTTCAAAAACATATCTCATGCTTGAGTCCTGAGTCAGTAATGTGCATGTTTGCCCCTGTGACTGGGTGGGTTTTCTCCAGGTGCTCCGGTTTCTCTCACCATCAAAAATATGCACCGGCAAACTCCTCAATCTTGAACCAAGCCGAGCATCAGCATCTGAGATGGCTCCTGAAAGGTTGCTCTAGTGGAATTGGAAGGAAGGGTCAGATTCAGGGGACAAATCTACCTTAACCTGAAACAAAACCTGTTTTACAAATTTCAAGTTTCAAGCTGTTTTCTCTAAAGTTGAGTCCAAGTCTGCACTTGACAAAAAACTTGCCATGAAGCAAATCTGGAAGTTGTCCTCTCCTCTTCCCACTGCTGCCTTTTGAAATGTGACACCACTCCTCTCAAATTAGCAAAAACTCAACACTTTTTGCAGTTCTGACACATCAACTTTCAGGACAAAGTGTTCACTTACTGCTGAATGATTCACACAACAATGTCACCATGCCAAGATTATTGTACAAAAGTTTGTCTAAAACGTTTGAGATGAGCAAAGAATATTGGAACTAAACTGTACATAATGCAATACTGAAGAACAGATAATGTTACCTGTTGAAAAATCCAAAATCCCCGCTCAGTTGGTGGTCCCAGGCTCTTTTGTCTTTCCATTTGAACAGCTGTTAGTGACTTGTTGACGTTGAACTTTATTGAATTAATCTGGAGGCTTACTTGATGTAATTAATTACAGTGAGCTGAGTAGCCTTCATTCGGATCAGTGAGAGCGACAGGCTGCTGGGCGCCATGTTTCATTATTGTGTATGTAATGTGCATGGATGGAGTGTTGTATTTCAATTATATCTGCACAGTCCCCTCAGGCGAGTTTAGCTGTAGGAACCCCCACGGATGTGGTCAAACAGTGACTAGTGCCATGAAAATATTATCATATGTAAAACATTAACTCACTAAGTTGAGGCAAATTACACCGCCAGCCCCCGAGCTGATGACGCAAATTGTACTCAAAATCTAGTTCTCAAAAGTCTGGTTCCAGATTTACTTCTCAAAAGTAAAAAAAAGTCAATCCAGAATTATTCAAAGATCATGATTGTGCAGAAGGTCACAATCTCTCACAAAGAACTTACACAAAACAGAAAAGGAACTGACTTAGTAACACAACTTATTGTGTTGTAAATGACACAAATCCTCAAAGCATCAACAGCCAAATTCATGTGAAAGACCCAGCAACAACAGTCACCTACACACGTGCACACACTATGTACACTGTGATGAACTCACAACACAATGCAATAACCCAGATTAGGAAGCCCTCCCGCCGTCTCATTATAATGTATGAGTGAAAATTGCTTAATTGCAATGTTTTTTATAATGCAATTTCTAACTTGATGCACTCTTTTGATTCACATCTACATTTTCAAAGTTTCAATTACAGTCATCTACTCGTATGACTTTAATGTTTACTTTCTTGTTTTGTAAAGCAATTACAGTTGACTTGTGCATGAACTCTGTTATTCCAAAAATCTTGCCTTTGCAATGACACCAGTGGCTCTGGCTCATTATTATGTATTTACTTAATAAGAACTGTCAATATTGACCTAAATGTCATAAATGAGACGAGTTTGTGCACTTTCTTATGGAACAGCTTTTCGGACTGCCCCTAAACATAACATCAGTGAATTATATCAAAGGCTTCAATCCACTGCAGATTAAGTGCCATGCAAGGAAACGTTTTTCCTTTGCGTAAAAATGACCTCACAAGGCACGCGAACGACCCACATCAGAAAAGGAAATCACCAAACAAAACAAATGAAAGCCGTGGAAGGGGCTAACACTGGTTGGGGTCAAAGAGGGGAGCCCAATGGCTTCTTGTGGATAAGAATATAAACTACTTAAACATGCATGAATCACTTTACAACAGCTGTGAGTGTCCCAAGGCTAAAAAAGACTTAGTCGTTTCAGTCTGCCCTGTCAAACATTCAGGCTCTGAAGGTTGTAAACTGCACTTTTTAACAGAGGAAAAGTGAAGAATAAACCTGGACTGTTGCGATTGGTTAATGAATTTCCATTCTTGGTTAGTTAGGACAAGAGCAGGAGATAGAAAAGTTCTCCCACTTCAGACTGGTTTATGCTTCCACAGCTTAAACCAACACTGTAACCAGTCACAAAGACACACAGGAAGCAGAATATCCACCACAAAAGGAACAAACAACACACTGCTCTTTTGAGATTTATCTATTTAATTCATTCAAAGTTGAAGATTTATTTTGTAGGGACATCCATGACACTACTAAACAACAACACTGCATCACTTTTAACATTAGCCGGTCTCAATAAAAGGAATTTGTATTAGTAGAAAAGGTTTTAATCAGGTCCTAGTCTCTGTTGCTATAATTACCTCTGCCTGGGTAGCTGTTAGTTAGTTAGCCAGACAAGTTATGGGCAGATTTTTTTGAAACGGAAGGACAAAGAAACACTTGATTACATTATGGAGCTGGTCCGGATCCATTTTTGATTTAGCAATTATCATTTTGCGGTTGTCGCTTACAGCCCTCCCACTCAGAAGAAAAATAGATACGCTCACCTGACTAGAGAATTATTAATTCACCTGTAAATGAATTCATACAAAATGGATTTAGCCCATCCAGTCCCTCCTGCAGGTGACACAAATGACTGCTACTGTAAAACTATGACATTAGTATTAAAGGAAATATAAAGGTGTAGTAGGTATAGTTGGTACAGTATGAGACAGAGGTACTTACTGATGTGTACAAGTATCCTTCACTGTTCATGGCCAAGTAGAGTTTGGTCTGCACTCCCTGGATGGCCACCACCCGCAGACCCACAGGAATAAGGTTGAACATGGCTGAGGAAACACAAAAAGAAATACTAATTAACGATATACAACAGAAAAATGTGCCTTTAACTTAAGAAAAAGAAAGAGGTTTCAGAAACAAACCAAAAAGCAAATTGAACCACGTTGATTGGCAAGTCAGTTCAGATTTACAGTGATAATATTAACTGTTAAAGTAACTCTCAGGTCGCATAGATTGAGTAGGGACCCAGGGACAAGGCACAGTACTCTCTGTGTACAGAAAAGTTTTGTGGAACATTGCTCAGTGGTGCAGTGCAGAAGTTTTATGGTCCAGTGCCAAGGAGTTCCTGATGAGACTCAAAGCACAACTTCTACACATAAAAATGTATGAAAGGCTTTTCCTGTCTTTCTGTATGTACGCTTGGATAGCAATAATAATAATGCATCAGTTCTAGTATCTTCAGTATATTTTTTCAGGACACTCAAAGACACTTCACATGTCATCATTCTTTCACCCCATACACAGTGGTGATAAACTACTACAGTAGCCACAGCTGCCCTGAGGCATATTGACAGAAGCAAGGCGACCATTATGCACCATCGGCCCCTCTGACCACCACCAACTATTCACACTCACACCAGACTCGTTTTAGGCAATGTGGGTTGAAGTAGTTTTAGCACTTTACAGCCGCAGCCGCCCCACTGTGGCATCCGGTGTTCCCAAAGGTCTCCCATCACAGAACTAACAATTTTTTCCAAAAATATTGCGACGCAAATTGGTCATTCTGGCAAAAATATTTGTCACTCCAAAGAATGTCAGCTTCAACAATCAGATGCAGTTTTAGAGGTAGAGTTTTTACAGTCCTTGTCCAAGAGGCTCCTGACACGCCTCACGTTCGCGTGGTTGACTTGTTTTGAGCAGGATTACACACTGTGGAGCTGAGCACAGGGGACAGTCAATTACCAGGAAGCACCTGAGCTCACAGTCAAGGGGATGACAGGGCACCACCCACACATCCGGGTGCAGGGTGAGAAGGCCCTGGGGACAGCTGCCATGATCGGCCCTCCCACCAGTATCCAGGTCTAATTTTAAGTGACAAGACTGAACAGGCTTTTGAGTTTTGTTGTTTTAAAATATATTTCAGTTCAATGGTTTAAGCTGGATGTGTTGCTACACAGTCATCAAAAAGGTTGTCGAGAGAATCCATAATTAGATCCTAAAGTACTAAAACTTTTTATTTTAACTGTGCGCCTAAGAAATATAAAGTATTATTATTATTATCATGATCATTTTCTTCATTATTATTATTGTGAAAATGGATCCTCAAATGAGGAAGCATGGATACTTAAAACAGCTTCCTGTCACAACTTCTTTAACTGAGAAGTTAGACCAAGTTCCCACTAAACACATAACACATTTTTTTACACCTTTTATCCCAGTTTGACCTTATTCATAGATATCAAATTTCACTTTCTGGTTATGAATGACACAAGCAACCATGTTACAGACTGAGAACATAATATTTTACATTCTAAATAATATGCATATACATGATATGTTTTTAGTTAAGTTTCATAAAAAATGTTTTTGCTGTAAATTTAGGATTTTATGATGATCAAAAACTTGTAAATTTCAACATGTTTTCCAATGTATCTTCACAAATTGTGTCATTCCTGGGTGTATATTCTAATCATCCGTCAATTCACCAAAATAAGTCCAAATGATAAAATAATGGAAACCTTACTTTACTTGACTTAAGCTTTACTTTACTTTACTTTACTTTATTTAAGATAAATTGTGGCGTCCTCAAAAGTGCTATTCATTTCAGTCAATCTCCAAAAGAGAATCTCTGGCATTGAGTGTGGAGTTGATCCATATTAGTCCTGTTGTTGTTAATACGGACCATGTAGACCATAGACCATAGACCATAGACCATAGACCATAGACCATAGACCATAGACCATAGACCATATAAGACCATCGCTACATATCTCCTTTGACAGAACATGAGACACAGTGGCTCCCTTCTTCTCAGTCACACGTTCTGCTCCTGATACTGCCGCCATAAAAGGGGTCAGAGGTCTTGAGACAGACCAGAGGCTGCGTTCAAATGGACTGCGACTGTCTCAACAAGTGGCTGCAACACGGACGATCGGTGCAGTTTGGTTTTTTAATAGAACCGTCAAGAGAACGACCCTTTGAACAGTGAGAGTGAATGATCTGTTTGGTCTTTTCACTGCAGCACAATAACTAGTATTCTTCTGGAGCCCATATGCTTTGAGTAGGTCCTCGCCTACCATCACAAGACACCCGTATCTCCAAGAGCAGCATCACCATGGAGACAAGCGCACCCTAACAACGCTATTTTTGGAGCAGTGCAACAGACTCACTCTTCTTCCTTTTCTAAAACACGGCCTTTAATTTCTTTTCATGAAGTGTATTGAGCGGTTACACAAGGAGGTGTCACAGATGCAGAAGCCAGAGTGAAGCGTTCAAAAAGACTTGTGATCTTGTGATTTCATTTCCTCAGGAGCAAAAACACAGGCTCTAAATCTGCTTACTGTCAGAAACACAGGCCATCAAAATTGTTTAATGAGCCGTGTGAGTCCATTTCCTGTCTAAAAGCACTGTCTGTTTCTGCCTCTCGTTTTGGCTGGAACCTTAAAGTTTAACTACTATTCAGTCATGGTTTACATAACTCGGATTGTGTTTGACATGGAGGACTTTTTTTGTAAATGGCTTTTGAGGGGTTTTACATGTTTCCTTTATTTCAATGCACTCCACTGGCTTTTGTATTAGGCGTGACACAGGCTCCAGATGTTAACATTTGAAGACTTTGCATAAGTGAATGTTACTATATCGCATTTTTACATCACTACAGCAGTCCTCAACAGTTCAATGTCATGTAGACCAAGATGCCATACAGAGGAAACACATAAAACTACAAAGTCATTCAGAAGTTCATTGCAATTCTGTAATTCAACCTTTAATGTGAAACTTATAATGACTCATCACATGCAAAGTGTAATGTTGAGGATAATGGCTTACAGTCTATTTGTACATGTTAGAAAAAATGAAACGTTTATGTTGACATAATTTAATTAGCAGCAATTAGCCAATCATCAATGTTAAATGAGTTTGTGATATACTATAGTTTCACATTGTAAGTTGAATTACAGAAGTGACTGGACTTAATATTCTGTTTTTTCCCCAGAGTTTCACCTGTACATGTTTGAAACTTGTGATTGAGTATTGTTTTATAGTGGTTTTCCTATACATCTATACATTTTAAAACACATTGTGCATTTACTAAGTAACCTATCACTGTCATTATTCGAATTTCATATATTAGATTTTATAAAGTCGATGATTTATTGCTACTACCACTATAGCCACAGGTGCCCTGGGTCTGACTGAGGGAAAATGGGGCTGATAGAGAGCAGAGCAGGTGCCACTGACCACAACCAACCATGCTCTCATTCAACACATGCCTATTGGACATTATTTTGGTGGTACAGGAGAAACCTCTGCCAATCAACTGCTGTGATTGTTAAAAACCCAGACAAACCGATATTATGCTTTGTTTATGGGCCTGATATGATAATGAATATGTAAATATATATTTAATAATGTGGGACTGATTTTTATACATTCCTGATAAAAATATGTATGTTTTACACTTGTTCTTTCAAAGTGCATCCAGTGCATATATCAGCCCAATGCATCACCTCTACAACACAACATGCTGGAGCGCAGAGGAGGTGAACTCACTGTAACCATTGTCCTCCTCCTTGGTTCCATCGATGGTGCCGTCCGCCTGCAGCTGGAGGTGGAAGCCCTGTCTGCTGTACAGCTTTGTCACAATCCCCTTCAGCTGCGGCTCTGCAAACACACAAACCAAAGCAACATAAGACCTTGGTGCAGCGTTTAACATTTTATGAAGGCGACCTCGAGCTGTCAGAACACACTTTAACCCTTTAAATCAAAGTTGTCACTGCGGCCGAAAGGTTTCAGGTAGAACTTTTTGTTTTCAGACAAGTACATGGATAACTTTACTTCACTTTCCCCTGTATCACAAATGTCTGTACTGGTTTCACTGAATGCATAATTAACCATCTAGAAGTCGATGTTTTCAATGGTGTGTTCCTGTCTCGACTGTCAGACTGTGGCTGGTCTGTGAGCTGGAACTAAGTGCTTTCTCTTCACCAGTTATTGTCCCAAGTGGAGTGTCCTTTACTGCGGTTTACCACACCTTTCATCTATCCTTTCATCTCACTTACCTTTCAATACTGCCCTTTCTGCCTTGGCTAAGGTTACTTGCTGCACTGCTGCACTGAAGTTTTACGCACAGGGAGGATCACAAAACTCAAACTTAATCAACTCCGGTAACACACTAATTATAAAGGAGTCAATACAATATAAGCTCAAATGAGAAAAGTTCATGGGTAGATTTAAAAAAAGGTCGCACGTTTAGTAGATGTCACAAATTAGTGTGTAACACTACATTACCGTAAGAGTGAAAACCATATGACTTTTCAACGATAATATCAAATGAAATGGAACCATATCATGAGCTTCGATAGAAACTTTGCCGCTGTGTGATCTGAGACGCTGCACTGATGTCAGTGGTGCTGAAAACAGCGCTACCGACCTGGGCGTCTTCTGCGCCTCTTCTTGGAGCTGAAGAGTTTAACCCGGGAGAATACGCTGAGTTTGCTGGGCTTTTCGCAGCTCCCTTTGGCTTTATTGGGACTGCTCACGCAGCGGCACGCGTTTGACTTCTCCCGCTCCCTCGCCTGCCTCTTCTGCCTGATGAGGGAGCTGGCGATAGCTGCTGCCATGGCCAGCTTGGCGGCAGTGTGGAAACACTCCTACAGTGAATCTCACTTCAGAACCCAGAGCACTGGATTCAAGAAGATAGTCACAGTAACAACTTTTCCCGTCACCCCTTGTGACGTTCGCCCACAGTAGTTAGATGAACCTCAGCGTTATATCCTTCTTAAAATTGTGGAAAAACTAAAATGTTTTCTGTCATTCAAGCACATCCGAGTACAAAAAGAGGTCCACACAAAGATTGTCAGAGAAGCTCGTGCCAACATGTCCCCATCCGTGTGTCCTGCAGTCCCCACAGTCAGCAGGAGAACTCCGCCGCAGCACACGTGGCTGGAGCCAGAGGAGTTGTGTGCGGCCCCCGGTTTGGAAACACCTGTTTGCTGCTTCTCCCTTATCTTTACTGCGTGCGCACTAACGCCATTCGGATTCGGGCTCTATTTGAAGTGCAGCCAAACAACAGCGTGGTCCAAGCACTCCATCGTGAATGGAGGAGGCTACAATAAAGTCGATTCTCTGGGAATTCCTCCTACATACAACAAGCAGCAGCAGAGAGGGGAGGGCTTCTGTGAAGCACAAGAGCATGGGAATAGGGCACACACTCACACCACACGCACGTGGATCATCTACTGTATACTCTAGACAGATCAGACAAGATAAGACAGCCATTTCTTCTATTGAACTATTATTTATAATTTCCGCTTGCAGACACACCTCTTATTTCCTGAAGCCTCCTGGGTTATGTTTAATAAAACACTATAACTATCACCAAGTCTTTTCTTTTTCAGCGTCAGTACTGAGCTGTGCCATTGCGCGCTGATGAGAATGCTTCAGAACACCTCTCAATGCTGCCATCTAGCGTCAACATCTCAGAATGCAGCATCCACCAATTTCAAAATAGCAGCCATATTTGATTGAACTATGTGCAATAAATAATGGTTTTCATCCAGTCTATAATGAAATAGCTGTGACAAGAACAAGTTGTTGTAAACAATACAAGCAGTGAGAAAAGAAATCCATGTAATACAATATGTGTATAGGATACTATTTCTAAAGATAGCCAATAGCCACAGTGAGGAAAGGAACAGACTAACTTGGATTTAAAATAACCGTGCTTTGTATGAAATAATAAAACGTATAAGAAAAGTGTTAATAAATTACCGCATGTTGCAAATGTGTTTTTCAGCACCACGGACAGCTCCACAACGCGTACTTGCCCAAAAGCCCAAACATAACAAATTATTCCGAATGCTCCATACAAACACGTGCTCAAAATCAAATGTAAGTATTTAAATCGTTTTTGCATGAGCCAAGAAGTAATAAAAAGGATAATCAAAGCATTCCAATGAAAGCAATTCACACGCACGCAATAACGCACGCATACCTGACACCGCTTTTCTTAGAGGGAAACTCATTGTTTTGTCCCGTCGAGCAGAGTTGATAAAATCCGAGTGTTGCGGCGTTCTTCAGGCGGAGAGCAGAGAGCTGAATTGTGTCACATTTAGACAAAACTTCAGAGCATCCTCAGAACAATACAACTCTCAGCGTAGTGGTGGGGCAGGCTGCGTAAAGGCGTGGTCATACTACAGCCAAGATCGTTACGGGACATTAGTGACATGCCATTATGACTTCTAAAATGCTCATTAAACATTCATTTGGAGGTCTTGTTGATCCGGAAAACAGAACACGCGTTGTGGTCACCCGAAGAAAATGGAAATGGAAATACAGTGCGATTATAAGACTTTTACCAGCGCCAGATATGAGAGCGACGATCATGTTACAAAAATGATGTAAATTGATCCGATAATGCGTTGTCTAAACTGGTTACGCAGGGCCCTCCACTTTCGACGGAAATGTATTGATGTGGCATTAGTACAGACTGAAAGAAAAGATTTTTTTTGTCCAGACTGAGAGCACAATCCAAGTAAAAGAAACGTATACGAGTTTGTATTAATTAGGGCAAAAATGTGGTGTTTAGTATTTTTATTAATAACTTATTTGTATGCAAACATTTAACTAGGCCTACCTTGCGAGTTTGGCCACATAACACTTACGTACTCAGCAGTCTTGTTGGAAAAAAGTAGGATATGATTGAGAATTGATATTGTTATATATTGGAAACGTTTGTCTGCAGCTGTACTATATATCTTGTCCACTAGAGGGCGCCACGAGACAGGAATCAAACCGTTGTTGCCTTGAATGAACTTTTCCATGTTTCTACATTAATGCAATAAAACTGCACATTCTAAAAAACAAGTTCTATATAAATTATGTATTAACTCAAAGAGAACGCTGAAGGACCTGACCTTTTTCTCATACATAATACATTCTGTTTGTCCCAACAGAAAGAACCTTCTAAAAGTAAAATGGGTTGAACCGATCAGACCAAAGCCCCAAGCTGATTAGAAATCACTGTATTTTGTATGTACTAATTTGACTTTTTGACGTAGTGTTCTATTTTATTTTTCGTTCTGAAAAAAGCTGGTGAAGCAATACATAATCAAATTGTTTTTAGAACAAGGGAACTAGTTGGGTTTTATTGGGTCATGTTTTTATGGTGAAGTACCCCAGCGTAAACAGATACATATCACACAGAAAATACTTACGTTATGACATCACTTTAAATATTATTAAGCTATTGTCAATATAAAATATATAAACACTAGCTTAATTGTGCAAATATGTTGATATTTTCAAATAACTCCCAGTTCATGAATTAATTGAAAAGACAATAAAATATTCTTGCTCTGATTCTATGTCCCCAAAATGTGATAGAGGTGTGAGGGAAATTAAATTGCATCCATAAAATCGCAACAATTGAGCATAATATGTATGCACACGATTCATGTATTAACTTTAATTCCAGGGATCAGAAAATTAATTGTGCTTGAGACAGTATTATTAGATTATCCAAGCTCTCGCCTCTCATTTCAGCCCATTTTGACAGGATGATAAAAACAGTAGGTTCAAAAATGTTACAAGTTCCAATTGTTTCCCAGAAGAGCGAGGTATACCCTGTGTTGTCATACCAGCCCTCACCACTAGAGTAGAGAAAGTTCAGTATCACATTGACCTTTGGGTTTGTAAATATTTTCCAAACAAATTAAAATGTTCAAATGAATAATCAAAATTAGCCTTGGGGGTTATGATGAATTTCCAAATACAGAATGAAAAGTGAGTCCTGAGGCTAAGGACAGAGTAAATGAGAAGATAACCTTGCTCTTGGTGTGAAATAGTAGAGGGCACATGATCACAGTGTATAGGCCTGTGCACTTTGGTGTTCTATACAGTGAACAGTGATCACAATGTGGGCTGCAAAGGGAGTGTTTGGAGGTTAAATTCTCGCGTAGAACGGGGAGATAGGGGTGAACACGCATTGATCTCTGCTATAAGCTCAAGGGATGCTCCGAGCGCCCCTTTAAGCCTGCAGGCAGTGGCGCGCTCGCTCATTCAGCCAGCGCCGCTACAGTAAATCCATTACACCAGCAGCTTGCATGCTAGGCCACCAGTGCCACGGCGATACCACGCGTTACCATGGAGACTGCACATACGTAAGCGCGCGTGTGATGATGGGGGTTGGGTAATACAGAAGACGAAATCATCAGTCAGTTATGGTTCCAGCAGAGGAGGAGACAGGCACAAGCCAATGGCAGTGATTGTGCCGTGTCCCTCCCACCAGCAGCAGAGGCAAAAGGACACCAGTAACCAGTCACACGCTAATGGGGGAAATGCAGAAAAGGGCTTATGTGACTAGAATGTATCTAAAGGCTTTTCTATTTGGTTTTAATACCCATGTGTTTGAGGAAATTGTGGTGCTGAGCAGATAAGTGCATTTTTACACCTTTGTTGCAGTTCACTTGAGAATAAAAATATGAAAGACCATGTTAGGGTTGTGTTGATTTATAACAGCAAGAAATAATAGGCCTAAATTAAAATGAAATGAATGAATGAAGCCATTATAATAGTCTCACAGTGGGAAAATGACAGTTCAATGAATAAACATCAAGACGTGCTGCGGGAATATTTCATTCACCCTCCTTGAAATGACACTG